GATGTCGAAGTTGAGGTTAGTGAAAACGGCCTGCCAATTATAAACAACCTTTGCGAACATGAAGCTTCGTGAAGCCGGCCTTTCATTGTAAACTATGCTGCAGTTCTGCAACCTAGGCAACTCTTTCATATGAATGAAATGAATGCTCTTTTCGACAAGACCCGCATATTTACGCTGGAAAAGTCCCAGCCGCACTGAGGAGTTTGTCTCGGGCACAACGCAGAGCTCTTGCAGAGCTTCGCGGTCGTCACAAATTATGGCGACACAAATTAAACGTGTTTGCCTAGGTCGAGGAAGCGCGTTGTGACGCGGGATTCATTTAGGAGCCGTCGTCCCTAAATCCTGAGAAATCGTACTAATTATGAGTCGAGTGCGAAGAGTGGATGACGCCGTGTTCTGAGACCTTGTTAATAGCGAGGCGTTAAACCAATGCCTCTAAGCACACTGCATGCCGTTACAAAGATCTGGGCCGGTACGTTGGTGGCTAGGATTAAACGCACCTCAACAAAGTGGCCGGCCGAATGCTTCCTTGGTCTGGGTACAGACAAGCAAAGCGCAGTATATGAGGCCCGCTATGCTCCGGGGATGTCGCTGCGTGTTAAAATAACACAGTTTTAAACAAACAGGAACAGCCTGTTTACGTACGTTCGGTGAGTAATGTGGTTTTACTGGCTGAATGCAGCACATCAATCCTAGAGGTTCGTGCTAAATTGAAATATATGGCGGAGAGGAAAACCATGTGCCCTGACATACAACAATATTAGAAAACAACAAGGAGCTAACTCGACATTACAGACTAATTACTAAGGCTATTCGCTAAGTTATGCGTTACTGCACCGTAGACATTTTACACACAATTTACTCACAATTTACCGTTAACAAATTTTAGAAAAACATTGGTACGCTCATTCTGTGTCACGAAAGGGTATGTTGAGACGACACGTTCGATAATTTTTTTATCTTTATTTTCTGCGGATTCCTTACCTAAGAGGCAAGAGGCTTATTATTGCTTCCAATTCATGGGCTACTGGAGTGTGAGATAAGTGTCCACCGGCTATTACGTTAATGAAGGTTCTATGACACTGTCTTGCTGCCTTCGCTACAATGATGTGTTCAGAATCAGCGTAACGAATTTCGCTCTTCCAGTAAACTACATAGCTTTAGAGCTTTTGAGTAACGGCTTGAAGGCGAACCTTTTTTTTCTCGTTTATTGCCGCATATTCGTGTTCGTGAACTTGCTCATTGCCGTATCTTGATGATGTCACTACGTCCAAATAGCAGCTGTTATCGTTTAATCGAGGAGAGAAAGAAGCTTGCAAGGTCAACTGATGACGCACCATGAATGTTAATTCGCTGAAATTTTCCTGGGAGCGATTTCAGCTTACTGCGCTTTCTTAATTACGGGTCGAGCTTTCTTCGAAAAGAACTCGTCTCTGTGTGTCAACTTGGACCTTTTTTAGATGATGAGCATCTTCAGGTCTCGGCTTGTCGGCGTGTCATGACGTCACAAGCCATCGTAAAAACGGGCATGCGCCAGAATGTGTTAATCTCACCTTTCGGCCAATTCACCACAGTGGTTGTGCACCACAGTTAATAGTCGAACAAGAACGAGAAGATGGAGAAGTATCAGGAGGAAATCGGTGAAGCTGCACTAAGCCACGGAAGCACTGAAACAGCAAAACTGGACGATTCAAAAGACTAGTCTGTTTGCTTGTAACTTGTCTTTCTGCCTGCCTATTCGTCACACGATTAAGCCACCAGGCCTAAGTTTAAGAACTTGATGAACGACCAAGCTATACTGAACTGGTGGCTGTGTCCATACATGTGAGCAATTAGATCGAAAAAGCAAACATTACGCATATTGGACGTATAACATCAATACGTAAGTATTAGGTGGTGTGTTCCTTTACTATATAATACATAGATACGTAATTGTAAATACCCTAGTGTTCCTTAGGCTGCACAGAGAATGCGACGCTATGAACGACAAAGCCCTCTGCTGATGATGTGGTGCTGCCACCTGGCAGTGGCCCTGAGTGTTGCACAAGGTCATGTTTCCCGACACTACTACCAGATGGCGTCCATATCTCAAGCAGCACCTCCTTTATTTCATCAATGCCAGCCAGATGGGGCTGACTCAACATATATGAGTAGCTGTCTTAGGCAAGGCCAAGCATGAATGTCCACGTTCGTCCGTGTCTCTTCCTGTGTTGGTCTTGTTGGCGCCTTATTCTCTCCGTAAAACATGCATAGGAGCACAACAAAAAGTTCTACTTGAACAAATTACTGCTTGATGAAATACAACCTACTTTACAAAGTATGCCCCGTCACTCATGTATACGGCCGGCAGAAAGCTATCGTTTTTTGACGACAGTTTCAGCGAAGCCTGCAGATGCGCGGTCAATTTTTTTGCACGCCACAACCCCGATATCAGCAGAAGATATGCAAAGGATAGCAAGTTTTAGTACTGTCACGTACGTAGATTCCATGTAATGACGCTGCGTATGTACGAACTGCATGTTTTCTATCGTACGTATGTGCATAAATTATATAGTCATGCGTTCTACGAGGATTGTGGTGTAATTACATATGCTATGCCGTTAAAAACTCGAAGTGCGTGGCACTAAAAACTTACTATTTTGACTTTTGGTTACCCCTCTTTTCACGCAGATTAGAGTGTGCGCGTCAAAACACGTAATTTTACCGCGTCAGAGGTCCTTTCAACTCGTTGCTCGTACCAACAAAGAACAAACGCCCCGCCCAGCCTGCCCGTTCGCACGCTGCAGCGCAAGCGCTGTTCAACGCCTAACAACTAAAGGCGCCTCCCGGGAAATATGTCCCAAAAGGAGCATTCCTTTTCATCAAGGTTTTCTGGAAGCCTTAATTCACCGAGACCCACGAGAACGTACGTAGAAGCTCGTTCTTTTCAACCCTCTCTAAGCGCGGCGCGCTCCGGCTTTTCGCGCCACACTTCTAGTAGACGCGTACTGGAATGCAAACAACGCTAAGTAAATAGCTGCTGTAGAACGCAGGTATGCGCTCGCCTCTCTTGGCCAAAGAAGCATGTGCCGCGGCACTGGCTCGCTATACTGTTGAGAGCGAGCACGAGCGACGCTCCAGCAGGTAACAGGGGCCCCGATTTGTCGTAGCTAATGAGATGTTTTCTTGCTTTTTGTTCACGTCGAGCAGCGCAGGAGCAAAGGGCTGCTTGCGCGAAACGCCACTGCCTACTTGTGTCGCTGCCCCTAGTGGCTTCGTTTTGCGCCACACGCTTCGACGAAGCCGCTTTCGATGTAAATGGTTCGTTAAACCCCGATTGAGCAACATGGCGTCTTCTTACTTTTTCGCTCCGCATCAATTACGCGGCGAATGCGTAAACGGCGCTGAAGCAAGGCTTTGCGCATTAATGTGAAGAACTCGAGATCGAATGACGAGTCGACATCGTGTCAAGTCGGGCCGTTCTTATGAGTCACTTGTGCGAAGAGCCCTTTATTGCCGTATCAGATTAGAGGTAGAGGGTGTTTGCATCCGAAGACCTAAGTTCTTTCGTAATGCAGAGCGCGATGTATTGAGCGAAAACAGGAGAAAAAATAATTGTGATCTCACGGTGGCATTACTGTCTTGAGGAAGAGCTGCACAGCGCCGCCATCGAAGAAATATTTGCCAGTATGTACTTTTTATGCTTATTACTCAAGGACCACATCTTTCACTGAAAGGATTAGGTAACAATGTCTCTAAACATTCAAAAGAATACTTTCTTGTTAGGAAAAGAAGCTACTTCATCGAATGTCTTGATGCCAATAGGCACAAAGTAGGAGCCTGACTATTTGCCGTGTTGTAGCTGTCATTGCGGCAGCATTGCTCCCGGCTATAAGTTCAGTACGAAAGCTCGCCAAGTAAGAGTGAAGATTTTGCTCACATGAATTAGTTATGTACATTTTCTTCTTACCTACCTCTGTAGTCTTATGCATCACGTGGGAATATATGGTTCAGTAGACTTTAGAGCAGGCCGTTTTCAAAGTCCTCCACGAATGTCATTTACAGGCACCTATGGCGAGGTCTGTCCTTTTTTTCTCCTGTCTGCTGATTCCCTTCTATAGATAGTTTGCACGTGATGTCATAAATGCAAAACATGGCACCAACATGGTGGCATTCAATGAGGTCGAAGCAGTGTGATAACGTGATACAGCGTAATAACAACGTCGCTGGAACGTTATTGGGTACCTTTGCATAAACAGCGAAGGAACCAGCATGCGATGCACTGATAACACTAACAGGACGTCACGATGAACTTTGCGTCGAACTATGTTGGCGCAATAACGTGCTTGTTTCAGTCATGTCAGTGAGAGCCATCTATTCTCTGCAATACAGTTACAGTGTGACGTTCTTATTGTGCTGCAGTATTTCTTAAATGTTACAACTTGAGTGGGGCACGGCCTTGGTGGTGCATGTGGCATAATGTCGAAGAGGTAGTTATAAAGAAAAGCAGTGCTGATATTTCGAGAAATTCAAAGCACACATAGACAGAAAAATAGAGATGACAGTGATGAGAGGCAAATGCGTTAGCCGGAAGGTAAAAATACGGTTCTCTATCCTAACCGAGAGTCGGATAAAAAGAGAAATAAACAAGGATATACAAAGGGAGAGGAAAGTACATGCTCGCGCAAGAGCTGGAGGGACAAATACTTCCAGAATTGTCGCTGAGTCAAGCTCGCCTTGGCGATACCGTTGCGCGTTCACCATCTGAGTTCAAAATAACATCAGCTAAATGTGCGTTTAACTAATCGATTCATTGTGACGATTGTACGACAATATGTTTAACTGCTTGCTTGCCGTCTTCTTACGCAGGCTATGCCCAAAGTGTTGTCCACCGTGGTGAAGATAGAAGCGGGCCCCGACTGATGGTAGAACCACAGAGCGTGGTGCGCTTTTCGAGCGAAACGGGAGCTGTTTTGCCGTGCTCGGCCGACGGACGTCCAGTTCCCGCAATCACGTGGGAAATGGCCGACGGGAGCCCAGCCAATGACGTGAGTAGAAGTTGCTCAAATGCATATTTCACGTTGATATCAGTCGCAAAAACAGTGTTGACGTGTGTGCTCGGACCTCGTGTGTGTCCCCCTTGCGATGCCCAGCCCCATGCCAACATTACAATAAAGGAAAGGGGCTCTTCAGAAAGTAGTGGCGTAGCCAGGGGGTGGCAATGCAGGCCCATGCGCCCCCCCCCCCTGGAAATTATTTCTCGCCATGGCATACATAGCACAAAATAACCATTTGCCTGCCCGACCCCAACAAAAAGATGCCTCTCTCCCTCTCGATCAAAAAAAAAATTCTCCATAAAACCGTGTCAGGAAATGTTAAGGTGATACCGCCTTCTGCAGCCCTTGCGGGAGCCATTGACAGTTTTGTCGTCAATATTTTCTGCCTGCATCTTTTTTCGCCTTGTCAAACTACCTCCCTATCTAACGCGAGCCACTCTGGTCAAGTTCCCAAATGAATCTTTCTCATCTCGTTGTTCTGTGTTGATCATTACGTTTAGTTCGTTTGTGTCACCTGCTCAACTTCAGTCTCGCGGTTTCTTTGTGGAATGACGTCACCACGCTGCAGATATCGGGCCTCAGAGAGACCCGTCCGGACGGTTCCCTCGTGCTGCGGTCTTTCGACCCTTCCCTGTTCCGGCCAGAGATTCACTCGGCCACGTACCGCTGCGTAGCCTCCAACGCCCTGGGCCTGGTCAAAAGCCGCCTCGTGCACGTCCGAGGAGGTGAGTGTCAAGGTCATTTAGAAGTAGAAGAAAGACACCGCGGCCCCTGGGCCGTCGTCTCTTATTGAAATGGAAAAAGGATGTCTCCTGGTTTTCGTTCGTATTAACTGGACAGCCAAGGAAAAACATTAAATCAGTTAACACTGGTAATTTGTTATTTGAGAGATTAGTTGACGTTAATTTTACCATCGTAGGTTTCTTTGTGAAAGAGGAAAATGAGAGAGAGAGAGGTAAACCTTTAATTTTTTGCTGGGCTTCACTTTTACCAATTGAAGGTGAAATTTTATTTGACGGGTGAGCTGGCCTATAATAGTTCTTAGAAAATCGAGCTCTGTGACCATCTGGTATTTCACGATGAAAGCCTTCGTAAGCGTGCGTCCGTCGCTTGTTCTCTTTTTGAGTGACACGGACACCGAGTGATATTCCCGCTTCTCTTGCAAACAAATTCGGCCTAGCGCTTATGCTGCATTCGCAAAAATGCAGATCGATTATTAGGGCTTGAGTTATATGCATGCATATGGTATAGGAGTATGGCTTAAGATATGGGTCAACGAACGGCCAGGATAGTTAATGAAAATTAGTGTATTGTGATTAGTTGATGGTAGGGCATAAACTTTATTGATACCAAATGAAAATAGGGCAGTGGACCGTCATGACAATAAAGTTTTATGGAGAAATACTCAGAGAGGAATACGTCAGTGTGATAATGTACCGCAAGGACGTTAAACCCCACATATAAATCAATAATGTACCGCAATGGAAATTATGGGAAGTACAGGCTTCGCATTGGATTGTGTTAGGTATATAGCGAACTGTCTACGAATCTTTTTCTACAATTCCAGTTTCGTTCTTCGCGCAGCGTGGGTAAAGGTGTGCGGTGCAAAGCACTGAAGCAGCGCCTTCGTTGGTCAAAGAGGCCGAAGACCACTCGGTCTGAGATTTGCCGGGGCTTTAGAGATTTACAAGTCGTATTTGGCGGTTTAGGCGAAGCGTCGTCCACTCACCGCTGTGCATAGATGTATAGCGTATCATGCCAGTGCAAAATACTACATCGAGTTCACGTATTTTCGTGAGCGCGTCTTGCCAAAGCTCGTTTCTGAAAAATGACGGCGAAGTTAGGTATACGCACCTTCATACTCCAATGACTCAACTTCACAACAAGACGAGAAGTGTGTTGTGGGCAAACCACTTGGAAAGACGCACCTGGCATGGCAGAACACGAAATGTTAAGTGTTTCTCCTCAGTATGCTGTAATGTTATTTACATAAATAAATAATACGTACTTTCAAGGGCAAAACAAGAATCTTTGTTTTCAAATGTAAAGAATTATTCATTATATCTTTATGCCAAATGTGGAACGCAATAGTACAGAAATGCATACCCTGGAGGTTAAAATTGTACATGTTTCACTTCTAGCTTATGGTCACGAGAACGTTTTGCAACAAGATTTACGTGCAAAAAAATGAAGCAAGCTTCGATTATATATAACTTCATTTCTTTTGTTTTGCACTCGGCAAACAAGTATCGCGAATCTCAAAAATGCGGCCATGGTGGATTATGAGCAGCTGGGATTGTCGCGGCGCCTGCCGCAGCGAATCTCAATCACGCAATGCTTTCTTCGTGGCCTCCGAGTGGCGCCTCGTCATCGCTACGAAACACAAGGTCACGTCAAGATGTACCTAAGTGCACACAAGTATATCTATGTGAGAGTGTCGTGAAGGATTAAGGTACCTTTCAGATTTTTTTCATTCTTATTCTTTTCCTATCCACGCCCAGTGTTGCACGTAGCACATCAAATGCAAACTGGTTGACTCCCCTGCATGTCCTCTTATGTTTAGTGTCTCTTCCTTTCGTGTTTGTAATATTGAAATTGACATGCGTCGACTAAAACATGAAATTCATGTGGTTTAGGTGAAAGAAAATAAACTACCCTCCTCAATCAGACCTTGTTTGTATAGTTTAGGAACAATTAGAGAAGGCGTACGAGAAAGTATGCGTTACCTATTATTTTTTTTTGTTGTTCTTGTCAGGTGGCGGAAACGCATAACTGGTTCGCGACATGCTTCAGCTACGACGCGCTGACGTTGCGGCAGATTTGATTAAATTCGCCTCAGCCGCATGATTACGCGCTCAACAGAGTAGAATGGAAGTGAAACCCCTGGTTCACCTGACGTTTCCCGTTCGTTCACGTGAAAATATCAGCAAGTCACTAATTTTTTGTGCTGATTTCCTGTTTAGAAAGCAGCAAAACAATAAGGTTTAAAAACTCGAAACTATATAACGATTGACTTGAAAAGCGAGCGTACTTTTCCTTTCGAATCTCAATCAAGCAAACATCTCTTACGCACCGATAAAAAAAAAAAAACTCTGAAACGGGGACTTTGTTTTCATATTGCGCCCATTCGTTGCGAGCCAGTTTATAGTTCCATACAACGAAAACTCATAACACGGTGTTTACATTGGCGTCTGCATCGAAGCAAGTCACGACACATTGGCGGGCATCTAATATATACAAAAAGCAGTTTGATTGATGGGCGCCAAAGCTCGCGCATTCTTTACCTTTCACGATCGAGAAATAGATTTTTTAATAGCGCGGTTCTCGAGGTGACGGGAACGGAAAAATATTAAACGGGGGAAGATGTGGGTGGTTCCGCTGAATTTTTTTTCGCACTGTTTCTTAGTGCATCGTTTTGGATTATTGATTGATCTGTTTATAAGAAGAAGCTGCGCAGTATCCAGACAGAATGTACGAAGCGAGGAATCGAGAGATTTTTTTTCTTTCAGGGGGGAGGGGCAAATTTGCGTTCGTACAGCGCAGTAAGAAACTTCAAGCTATGTATATTCCACCACAAAGCATCTCCTATACCCACTACCCCTGTTTTTTATATTATGATTCGCGGTAACACTCCAGAACATTTTCGTATGCCACAAACCAGAAAAAAAAAGAACTTTGATTATTATACGTTCGGCTCACGCGCGGGAACGCTCCGAAGCACTTCCATCCCAATCGCATAAATTCTCGCCCTTATCCGGTGAACTTTTGTGAAAGAAGCTCGGAAAGCCGTAACGATAAAGGAAATGGGTTTTTCAGTTCTGATGGGAACATCGTCGCTGGAAGAACTTAAATATCAAATACGAAGACAGCAAAGAAGAGCCTTGTATGTACTTACAGATCAAGAATGCTTGCCGCCCTATTCCGAGACAAAATTTGATCCCTGTGGTGGAAAAGGACGGAAGATAGGCGCAATTGGTGCACAATTCTCAGCCTTTAAAGTCTCAGATACGAGTACATTTGGCTCCATTTTCCCGCGCAGTGAAATTCTGCGTCGGTCTGTTAACGAAACAAGTGTACGTCTTTCTTTCTTTCTTTCTTTCTTTCTTTCTTTCTTTCTTTCTTTCTTTCTTTCTTTCTTTCTTTCTTTCTTTCTTTCTTTCTTTCTTTCTTTCTTTCTTTCTTTCTTTCTTTCTTTCTTTCTTTCTTTCTTTCTTTCTTTCTTTCTTTCTTTCTTTCTTTCTTTAAGACGAGTACCTTAGCCACTAAGCCGCTAAGACGAGTCCCTTAGCCACTAGACCACCGCCGCGGTGGTCTAGTGGCTAAGTACTCGTCTGCTGACCCGCAGGTCGCAGGTTTGAATCCCCGGCTGCGGCGGCAACAGTTTCGATGGAGGCGGAAATGTTGTAGGCCCGGTGCTCAGATTTGGGTGCACCGTTAAAGAACCCAGGTGGTCGAAATTTCCGGAGCCCTCCACTACGGCGTCCTCTCATAATCATATGGTGGTTTTGGGACGTTAAACCCCACATATCAAAATATAAACTAAAAAAATGAAGACGGAAGTGCTGTGCAGAGTTCGCCGAAACGGACCATTGGCACAAGTGGCGGCTGTTACATAAAAAAAAAAGATTGCCCGCAGCTTCCCTCGGGGGAACACTGAGGAGGATGCGGAGCATATAATTGGTTAACGGGGTGTTAAAGTGCGACTTACTTGGGTCGATGGCTAAATTGGTTAACGTGGTTGTGAAATGGGGTGTTAAATTGCGACTTACTTGGGTCGATGGCTAAATTGGTTAACGTGGTTGTAGGAGGGGGTGTTAAATGAGTGAATACGTACACACGTATGCGAAAGGGCGGCGCTGGTCGAAGGGACGTCGATCATTGTGTTTGTGCATTCGTTGGCATTCATTTCACCGCGATCTTGGACGTCGACGCGCCGTACAAACCAACCGACGAGCGGCAACTGAGCGAGCAAGCGCCGACCTTGAGTATATATACAGCGTGACGGCGCATGCACTGTCAGCTGTTGAATGTTCTCGAAGCGCGACGGCGCATGCGCGTCCACTGGAGAAACAGGAGAATTGTAGAATGTTCTCGAAGGGGAGAAGCGCGCGCGGCACATATGGTGGGTGACGGCGCATGCACTGTCAGCTGTCGCATGTTCGAGAAGGGGGAGAAGCGCAACGGCGCATGCGCGCGCGTCAGCTGCCGATGTTCTCGAAGCGCGACGGCGCATGCGCGCGCGTCAGCTGCCGATGTTCTCGAAGCGTGACGGCGCATGCGCGCTACATTATACAGCTAGCGAATGTTCGTGAAGAGGAGAAGCGCACGCGGTGTGTAGAGGAGGAAGGGTGCACAGATGGTGGAGGAGTGAAGCGCGCGCGGTGTGTAGAGGAGGAAGGGATGCACAGATGGTGGAAGGAGGAGGAGGAAGCTTGCGGACGGCACCGCACTACAAGCCTCGAGTAATAGATGCTCCGCATCTAATACTGCTGAGAGCAAATAGTTTCGTCTGATAATGGTGTTTCAGCTGAATGCGCATCGTCCCTCACGTCCCCTCCAACAACAACAAAAGCTTGGGCCAAATTTATGAATACTTAGTATACGTTCATGAGCAATGATTTCTTGCGCTACAATTGTTTGTAAGCGAAGTTTTCAGCTCGAACAGTACGATATGTAGCCGGCTCTAAAGTAGCCTACACATTCTCAACTTCACATTTGAATAAAT